AAGGCCTAAGGACTCCAACAACACACCCCAAAGGTTCCGCAGCACCCGCCAGTATCCTGGGAAGCAAATCTTCAGCACAAGGTGCTGAGCCCCTTATGCAAATGACAGCGATGCTGCTGCATGGATGAACCTTGAACCTGGTGTGTTGTTGGTTGCTTTTTACTCTTTTGGGAGGCCCACCACCCAGCTCCCAAATAAATACATGTGGAGACATTATTACTTCTGAATGCCGGTCCTAGCTTGGCTTATTTCTAGCCAGCTTTCCTTAACTAAAATTATTCCATCTATCTTTTTGCCTCTGAGCTTTTGCCTTTCTCTATTTCTATCTTTTCTTCCCTTCTTATTCCATATCTGGCAGTGTAGCTGGGTGGTTGGTCCTCCTCTCCTCCTCCTTCTTTTTCTCTTCTTCCTCCTCCTCTTGCTCCTGATCCCCTTTTTCCCAAGATTTCTCCTATTTATTCTCGCTGCCTGCCAGCCCCACCTATCCTTTCTCTTGCCTCGCTATTGGCCATTGAGCTCTTTATTAGACCAATCAGGTGTTTTAAGCAGGCACAGTAACACAGCTTCACAGAGTTAAACAAATGCAGCATAAGAGAATGCAACACATCTTTGTGCCGTTAAGCAAATCTTCCACAGCTTTAACAAATGTAACATGTCTTCAACTAGTATTTCACAACAATGGTGGCAGGTCCAGTCACAGGCAATCACATACTTCAGAGACAGCAAGTGACTGCTGCTGCCTAAAGTGGGTCAGAGAAGTGAATGTGAGGTTGAGTCACTACTCTTGGACACAGAGTTTCTTTTCAGGGTTCAAAAAAACGCCCTAATATTGGTAATATTGGTGATGGTGCAGCTGAGATCCTGTGCTGAGAGAGAGAATGGGCGGGAGTCAGATGGGGCAGAGAAAATAATCTAATCCCAGGGAGAATCGGGGCCAGCGACATGGCTCATCAGATGAAGGCACAGGCAACCCGAGTCCAGTTCCTGGAGCCTACATGGTGGAAAGGAGAGAAATGACTTCCAAAAGTTGTCCTCTGACCTCCATGAGTGTACCATGCTGTGCACTGTCCTCCACACTAAATAAACAAGTAAACCTATCAGAGACAGACAGACAGACAGACACAGAGAGAGAGAGAGAGAGAAAGAGAGAGAGAGGGGGGAGGGGAAGAGGAGAGGTTTTTGCCCTCTGTGCTGACAACCAAGATCCAGCTGCCTCCCCCAGGAGGGAGCTGTGAACTCCCCTGCAGCCATGTCTGCCTCTTCTGACACCAGCCTTTTGTGGTTGTCTACATATTGTACAACTGTCACAGGCAGGGTGGAGAGAAAAGAACTGGCCTCTTTCCTCCCCTGGTTTGGCCCAATTGTAAATAAATCCATTTCCCTTTACCCATTTTTGTTTTCTAATTTCTTTGGAAGCTAACGTGTTGGGTTTCAGACCTAATGGCCTGGGAGCCGCTGATCAACTCCACAAATCCACTAAAACAGCGAGTCATGTGCTTTCAATGGGGAAAGTGAGTCGCAATGAGTTCCATCCCAACAAAGGCACTCTAAAGAGCGATATGATGAACTGCTTCTATTAGCAGCGCTTACCCACCCATAGGAAACACCTCTAAGACTCCACTAGAGTCTCAGAAGAAAATACATAACCAGCAAACAGTGTGACTTTTCACAAATTCCTCAGCTGTGAGCCCAGACTCTGAGGGGGCGGGCTGGCCATTAGCTTCCTATCAGGGTCAAAGCTATCATAAAAGGGAGAAAAAAATAATGAAGATAGTCCCGGGAAACGGACAGAGCCGATCATCTACAGCAGGGTTCTCAACCTGTGGGTCGTGACCCCTTTGGGGGTTGACTGACTTTTTCACAGGGGTCACCTAAGACTACTGAAAAACATGGTTATTTACATTATGATTCATAACAGTAGCAAAATTACAGTTATGAAGTAGCAACAAAAATATTTTATGGTTGGGGGTCACCCCAATGTGAGGGACTGTCTTAAAGGGTGGCAGCTTTAGGAAGGTTGAGAATCACTGGTCTACAATATTCAAAACACCCCATTTTCAGCAGTCCCTGAACAGCCCCACCTGGGTTCTCAACCATTCCTGATCCCAGGTCACGCCAGGCCAGGCCAGGCAGCACAGTACCCTTGGATTCCATTCTGCTTGCTGGGACCGCTGTAGGCAGCTCTCAAGGCAGGTCAGAGGACAGGTGAGATGGCTTCTGGAGGACTGGGGACAGCTGCACCTTCTCTTCCAACCCCACAGCTCCTTGTGAACAGCCTGGATCAGAGGGTGGAGCACAGACAGTCCTGGTCACCAGACAGCAACGTCATGTTCCTCTCTCAGGTCATCTGTGATGAAGCGAGGGACCATCTAGTCAGACAGGATAGAAAGAAGTCCCCAGCCTGAGTGTCTCAGCCTCTGCCCCTGACTTTCCCCAGGGGTGAGTATGCATGAGGCCATAGTTGGCCCTTGAGATTTACCTCCATAAGACATGTGGAGTTGAATCTGGTGTCTTCAAAGATGGGGAGACACAAGAGACAGGCGAGCTGGGCACAGGCAGGTGTGAGAAAAAAAGACAGGTATATAGAAGGAAGAAAGACGACGGCAAGCAGTGGGCAGATGGGCACAGCACTGGTGAGCACTGGATGGAACCCAGGCTGGCCCAGGGAGCAGTGACAGCAAGCTGCACTCAGGCTGGGAGTGGTCAGTAGGTGACCGAGTTCAAATTTGAGGTTCTACTCAATGACAGGGATTGCAAGAAGGGTGGACTTGGCACTGCCAAGGTGCTGGCAGGAGGGAGTGACGTTGGCAAGCTCAGGGCAGTTCCAAGGTGGACACAAACACTAAAAGCCAGTCCTGCTGCTGTGGTGACAGAGTCCATTGGCTGCCCCTGTGCTAGTGGCATTGCTTGGGGGAATAGGAGCAGACACACAGGTGAGGGGAGAAATGAGCTTTGTGGAGATGTGTATGAAGGTGGGAGCTACTTGTTACTCAGCTGTCCTCCCTGACGGGGTATCTGTGAGGATCTTCATGATCGCTTTTCTCACTGCTATAAAAAATGCCCACAAAATCAATTTGAGAAAGGAGGGGGTAATTTGGACTTACAGTCTGAGGTAAACAGTCCACCATGGCGGGAAAGGCATGGTGGCAGGAGTGAGGCAGCAGTCACATTGTATCTGTAGTCAGAAGGAGAGACATGAACACTGGAGATCCCTTCCCTTTCCTTTTTATTTGGTCCAGGACTCAGCCCATGGGATGGTACCACCCACACTCAGTGTATGCCTTCCATGTCAGTTAAAACTCTCTGGAAATCCCCCATAGACATACCCAGGGGTGTGCCTTCTATGTGACTCTAAAACCAAGTTGACAGTGAAGGTTAACCATTATGGTGACCGGGTGTGGTGATCATAAGATCCTTGAACGTTTTTCATCTGGTCATCTCAGTGGTCCAGACTGAGAAGCTAGCACCCTGGAGCCTGCACCGGTCTCTACTCAGCCTGACACAGTGTCTTCCAGAGCTGTCAATTCGATGAATTGTCCTAATTAACAAAAAAGAAGAGGCTTGCATGTCCACTGTAGAGTCAAGTACATATGTGATGTGTAAGTGTGTGTCCTTAGCCCCAAGTAGCACCCGAAAGAGCAGTGGTTCTCAACCTTCCTAATGCTGCAACCCTTTAATACAGTTACTCATGTTGTGGTGAGCCCAACCCTAAAATTATTTCATTGCTAATTCACAACTGTAATACTGTTTTGAATTGTAGTGTAAATATCTGATATGCAGGGTATCTTATATGTGACCCCCCAAAGGGGTTGCCACCCATAATTGAGAACTGCTATTCAAGAGCCTGATCTTGTCTCCTGTTCCCTGAGGACCAGACCCTGCCCAGTGTGACCCTCACACTGGCGATGAGAAGCTGAGAAACAGGCTGCCTTTCTTCACCATCTCACTGCAACCCTGAGGAAGGGGCACCCCCACTTTCACAAGCTGGCAGTTGGCCTCTCCTAGGCTGTGTGGGCCAGTGACACTTGCCTCAACTCTCAGGCCCAGCATGTGGATGGCAAGGAGGATGGGCGGATTGAAGGCTTCTAAGCCCCTTCTTGTCTGAAATGCTAATCTGCCCCCATCAAACCTGTGTAACTGTGCTTCCCCTGGGTGTGGATAGAGACCCAGCTACAGGCATAGAGAAGAGACACGGCTTTGCAGTGAGAGCAAGATGAGGCAATGGAGGCCGGTTGGAGTACTCAGAAGAAGGTGGGAGGGCCAGTTCTAGAGTACCACATGACCCGTGGGGCCTAGTGTCCTGTAACCCAGCCACAGTCCGATACATAACCCAGATGGGAGTGATCATTCAGTACTGACCCAGCATGGTGACTATCAGCCTTCCACTGGAGTTAGCTGGGGTGGTGGGGAGTCCCACAAGCTTTCCAGGGGCAGAGGCATCCTCCCCTCATGGTAATGAGAGGCCAGGGGGACCATTGAGCACGCCCGGGCAGTCCCAGCAGATCCGCCTGGCTCCTGGATTGCTCAGAGACTCACAGGCGTGGCAGTTCCCACACAGTACCTGTCAGGCTGGGAACATGATTATAGCATATGGAGACCAACTGCTCTGGGTCCTGGTTCTCAGCAGCCAGGCAAGGACTAGTGCTGGGCTCAACTGGGAAGGAAAAATTCTTTTATCAGTCTACAGCATTTAGCCTGCCTGGACTTCCTTCCCCTAGCGACTTCCTCAGCTGCTTCCAACACCTTAGCTAGCCTCCAGCTCCGTCCTCTGCCTCAAGCGTCCTAGTCCATCTTTGGTTTCTGCCCACAGTCTGAGCCCTAAAGCTTGCACCATGCTTCAGTCTACACGTCCTGCTAGCAACTCCTGGCTGCTTCCCAAAACCTCAACTCCCAGCTACCGGCTTAACCCTGACCCCAGAATCACAAGGTCTGGAAGAGCCAGGGGGTGCAGAGTAGTCAGGAGTGGGTGGAGCCTTCCTGGAAACCATCCAGCCCACAATGGAAGAGGAAGGTGAACAAGCCTGCTGAGAGCTCAAGGCTGGCTGTGCAGAGGTGAGTGGCTCTTCTCACAGCCACGGGGACAAGGAAGACAACAAGAGGGAGGGCTTGGAATCCAGATAGCCTAGCCATAGAGTCTGTTAATGTCTTTGCAGGGGGCGTAGGTTGCTCTTCAAAGTCCTGAAGATTTTCACTAAGGTTGGATGGCTGCAGCCCTTGTAAGTGGGGAGTGGTATGTGACCCTAAAATCCCAGGCTGTCTTTAGGAATGGGAGTTGGAGAGCAGAAGTCAACATGGGAAGTGGGGGCACTGAGCAGCCAGGTATGGCTAGAACACACGGGCCTGGCTGAGATGTAGCTGAGCTTCTTGCCCACAGTGTGCAATGGGCACATTAACTTCTCTGGTCTCCAGAGCTGTGTCCCAAGAGAGGCAGGGAAATGGGAGAAACAACAGTCCTTGCCCATATCCCCCACCAAGCCTGGCAGCTATATGAGCTGGTGCTGGCATGTTGGGTAGGCAGATGGATTACAGCGGAGCTCAATTTACTGGGTGAGGTCAGCGGCCCCAGCTGTCACCCCACGCCTTCAGAACTGGAGACTCCATGAAGATGTTCTGGCAGCAAAGAGACTTATCTTGTCTCTCAGTACTAGGGCTGGGCCCTCACACCTGCAGGTTGGTGACAGATTTAGTGTCTGCCCTGACACCCTCTCTCCCTCCTCTTCATTCTCTACCCACCTTGGTCTGCAGCCTGTACATCATGGGACCAGGCCCCTGTTCCTTGCCAACTGGCTGTTGTACATAGCAGTGATCCAGGACCAAGAAGTCATTTCCAGCATCCACCACAGAGTTCTCTGGCTGGGCAGAGGTAAGAGAGATGAGAGGCTCGTGTTTAATGAGCTGGGAGTGGAAGATTGAAAGTGAGTTCAAGAACCAAGAAGACAACCTCACAAGGTTCTGTGTGGGCCGTAGAGGGAGGGCAAGAGAACCAAGAGCCAAAGGCTGCATTGCCTCACACTTGGCATCAGTGATAGGGTGGGTATCTTATGAGGCTGCTCCAAAGTGCCAGCTGTTTCTTGCAGGAAGTGGCTGGAAGCTTGGGTTCTCAGGAAAACAACCTGATGATGTTCAAAGTGCAAATGAGAGACGTAACTAGGCAGACTCAGGGCTCTCTGTGGTTGAGGGAAGGAAACTAAGTGGGGTTAGAACAACCTGGGCCAAGGATACTGAGCCGAAGGGCAGGAGAGGACAGGGCCACTATGAAGATAGGGGACAAGCTTTAGGGGAATACACTGCCCTGAAAATAAATCAGTGTATGGATAACAAGTCCATTCATGAAAAGACCTGGTAAAAAGCTGGACTGGGTGGTGTCACCAAGGCCAGGAATGGGTGACAGCTGGGAGACAGGGAGCCTTTCCCCCAAGCCCTGGCCACTGAGCTGCTTCTCCACTGCCATCCAGCAACCATGGCTCCCTTTCCTTAGCTTAGTCCCAAAGTGAGTCTTTTTTATTCTGATTAATAGCAAAGAGAGGCTTGCCATTTGTCCCCATTCACACTCTGTCCCCATGTGAGGGCCCTGCTCTCTGGTATAAGGCTCACTTTGCAGCCAGAGTAACTCAAAGCCCCAACCCTCTCCTGAGCTTGGGACCTTCCTATTGGTGCTTTCCCGGTTACTGTCTCCTGGTCACACAGAGTCCTTCTGTGTCTGTCTCACTGATATGGATGAGTCTGGGCAGCATATGCACAGGCCATGTGTATAGCTTTTCTAGTTCTTACCCTGCATACCATCAGAGTATAAATTCAATCCAGTCTTCAGTAAAAACCCACTTAAATGACAGCAGTCCCCAGTCATTTGTGGGAGTAGCTAGCGACTTGAAGTCCTAGCGACATCCTCACATTTTCTCCTCTTGATTCCCGAAAACTTCACCACGATGCTGGTTGACACCATGCGTGGTGTCAGATTTGAAAGGGCCTTAGTGTGCTATCTGCTCCTGCCCCTCCCCATTCCTGTCACCCCAAGTAGCAAACAGATTCTCAGAGGCCAGGGAGCACACTGCAGATTCAAGGGTGCAGAGACAAGCACACATCTCAAGAGGCAAAGCGGGGAGGGGGGGATGGCGCTCACAGAGGCTGTTTCGAAAGCGCCATCCTTTCCAGTGAGACTCATAGCAGGAGTGTTCAAGGATCGATAACTAAAGCGACACCCATCGCAGCTCAGGAAGGCCACAGCTGGGTGGACGCCCTTGAAATACTATTTTCTGAGCATGGTTGCGCTGGCCTGTGCAAGGCTGTGGTCTGGCAGAGTGCTCCGGGCCATTCCTAGATCAAACACAAATGTGAGATCACCTTTTTGAAGCGCTTTTGGCCTTGTTTATTACTTGCTTTTTATATGCTCTAACATAGGCAACCTCATTGCCTCTATCCGTGCTTCTAAGTCCAGGTTCTGAGTGGATTTCCTCTTTGCCAGCATGTGGACAGAGGAGGATGGCAGCAGAAGGGTGAAGGAGCCTCAAACTGGCACAATTCTCACCTGAGCAGGCTGTCATTGGGTCTGTTCTTGTCCATGTTTTTCTGTGTTCAGCCTTGGGGCTGGGAGAGGGGTTCTCTGAGATGGAGAGACAACGCAGCATCTCTCTAGAGGAAGCCAGGATCCTTTGGGAGAGCAAGGAGTCAAGGTGCAGAACTGGGAAGAAACTGGTCAGGACACCAGGCCAGTGAGTCAGCACATAGCTGACTTGGGTTCTCAGAACTGCTCTGCTGCAGCTTGAGGAGGATAGGTATGGGCCTGGAGGCAACCTGAGGAAAGGAGCCTGCTCAGAGGCCTTCACAGCAGGGAGGCTGTTCCAGCCTAGGACAGGTGAGGTCCTTAACCTACTCTCTGCACCCAGGCTTGTCTGGGCCTCTTTTGTCTCCCTTCTGCCCTGAGGGCCTCTGCACAGGGGGGCTATGTGTTCTATGGATAAACTGGCTTGTAAGCCTAGCATTCTCTCCTTGCCAGCTCCTTGGTCTGGATAATGGCTGGCTTTTCTTTCTGACTGCCTTTGCCATCCTGGTTACATTTTCCTAGATAACTGCTCCCTCCCACAGTTCCCTGACACACCAGGTTACAGAAGTCTAAGCTCTCTTCCCAAGCAGGCCAGTTATGAGGTGATTTCGTGCAGCCTGGGATAGCTGGGTATACTTTTCTGTCTATCCCCATCGTTGGTTGCATGAGCCAATAAATAGGCAACCAGACCCAGATTTAGTCTCTGTCTCTGAGTCTGGGCAGCTCCTATAGTCACCGTGACCACACCTTCCTCTTCTGTAAAGAAGAAAGCCTCTTGTGTTGGCTGATGCTGCCATTGAGGGCTGTGTGAGCCAGCCTGCACAGAAGACTGTGGATGCTCAGCTGCTGGTACCCAGGCAGGGTTTCCATATGAGGAAGTGAGGGGCAGGTTACTGTGCTCCACAGTGGAATGCATAATACTTCTCTTAATTTTTTTAAAAATCTTTATTTTATTTGATATGCATTGGTGTTTTGACTGCATGTATGAGAATTCCAGATCCCCTGGAACTGGAGTTACAGATAGCTATGAGCTGCCATGTGAGTGCTGGGAACTGAACCCTGGTCCTCTTAACTGCTGAGCCATCTCTCCAGCCCCCTTCTCTTAAAATTTCTAAAATCTAATCAACCGTTTACTATAAAAAACAATAAAAATGTATTGGGGGCCAATGTATAAATAGAAATGATTGTAATCATTGTGGGAATGAGAAATGTAAATGGCCTAAGCAAATAAGGGGGAACCACACATCACTAAGGCATACAAAGGCACACATCTACAAGTCATGCAAAGACACAGACAGGTCTGAATAGAAAGTTCTACGAAGATAGACTTCATCAACTCTAACCCTAAAACAGCCGAAGTGTCAGAGAAAGGAGATTCCAGGACTGGGAATCGCCATGAGTGCAGAGGGACATCTCACAGTGATAAAAGGGTTAGTTCAAGGAGAGGCTGCAACAGACATAAACACACGGAGCAAAGACCTGGGAGAAACTGAGTGTGGTGGCTGATATCTGTAATCTCAGCGCTCAGGACGTGGAGGCAGGAGGATTTCTGTGAGTTTGAGGCCAGCCTGTGAAACTTGTCTCAGCAACCAGAACAAAACAAAAACTAAACCCAGTGGAGCTGAGTGCTCAAAGAACCAAATGCTCAAGCGCACATGGGGTTTGCAGCAGATGGAAGGGTCCAGGAGGATTCCTGAAGCCTGTTGGCACCTGCTCAACAGCCTGACCTCAGAGTTCAAGAGCCCCACCTAGGAGCAGCAGATCCACCCACTGTGGGGAAGTGTTCTCCAAAACCCTGGAACCAATGCAGGACCAAGTGCTATCTCAGGCCACAGAAAAGAATTCAACAACTAATAACCCTGGCAGTTTTGTCTTTAAAAAATAGATCCCTACTTGATAGCTGTTGTTTTACAACCCTTCTGTACTCTGTGAAGATGTATTGCTCTCATTGTAAATGAGAAGCTGATTGGTGGATGGCTAGGCAGGATTTTCAGGGCAGAGAGAATGTTGGGGAAAGGGGCAGGGATGGAGGAGACACCAGGAGATGCAGAGAGAGAGCAGAATGGGAAATCCATAAAGCCAATGAGCCGCAGGGCCGCACATAGATGAACAGAAACGGGTTAGTTTGAGTTATAAGAGTTAGCTCAAAAGTAAGCCTAAGCTATCAGCTGAGCACTTACAATTAATATTAAGTCTCTGTGTGGTTATTTGTGAGCCCGTGAGCTCGACTGAAAACTCCAACTACAGATGGCACTCAAGGAGAAAGTCCACATCCATTTTATTGCATCCCAGACAGGAAGTCTTTATCACTATTATTTTAAAACAGGAAGATACACCATGGAGTGGGGAAGTAGAGTCCTAAAGAGTAGAGTAGGGAAGGAGTCCTAAAGAGCATGACCTGTGATGAGAATGGCCAGTTTGGGAATCAGGAAGATGAGAGCAAATTCTTTTCTTTTCTTTTCTTTTTTTTGTTTTGTTTCACCAATGCTTTATTCCTAGTCATTTAAATTGACCATGGTACATACTATTTAAGAAAAAGTTATTACAAGATGAGTAAGTGAACAATCTATCCATCCCCTCAATAAAAATCTTGATGTTTACAGAATAAATAATTATACATTTGAATTTCAGGAGCAGAAAACAGTTCTTCCTTCAAGGCGAGTAGTGCATGAAGCCATAGAAGACTTTCTCTGTAATTTCCTGATCAAAATGGAAATGACCAGGACCCTGGACTGCTTTCAGGCCGAATGGTAAACCATTACGTGGATAGGTAGTTCTCTGGGAATGTTAGCACATTTACATGTGTAAATTTATCTTTCTTAAAGGACTTTGCAATAATAAGTACTTTGGTTTCTTTTGCTGTTGCTGTGATAAAATACAAAAGCAGCTGAAGGAAGGAAAGGTTTATTTGGGAGTCAATTCAAGTTACATTATTTACAGTTGTCATGGTGGGGGCATCAAGCAAATTCTTTTTTTGTTTTGTTTTTGTTTTTCGAGACAGGGTTTCTCTGTATTGTTTTGAAGGCTGTCCTGGAACTAGCTCTTGTAGACCAGTCTGGTCTCTCACAGAGATCCGCCTGCCTCTGCCTCCTGAGTGCTGGGATTAAAGGCACATGCCACCAATGCCCAGCCTTTGAGCAAATTCTTAAGGCCACTAGCTCGTGGAAGGTGTGTCACAGGATATGGCCAGTGTGAAAATTTAATACCAATTAAGGGTCCCTGAAATACTAAGTAATAAACTACAGTGCCAAACAAATTATAAAACACTTGTTTCCTGTTGAAATATTTGCCAAGTCAACTTACAGAAGAAAAATCTGCACTGACACACAAACTTGCAAAGATAATACATGCCATTGATGATTAGAGAGACAAAAATTAAATTACAAAATTCCTCTTTGTAGCCACGACAGCAATGAATGTAAGAGTCTCTCTATTTCATGCTCTTCCACACATATGGAGAGGAGCTTTATATGCTGCTGGTTTGGATACCAAATCTCTAACATCCAGTGATTTTTGAAGCATGTACCCAGCTAGAATGTTACCTGTACTGGAACATTTTTTTTCCCTGAAATCACTACATTTTGTTTAGGGAAAGATACTCGGGGTGACAATAAGGATCATATTCAGAATGTGACAGTGTCTTGGAGGGGGACAGAAGTGGGTACAAGCACACCTTAAGCCAGAGACTCAACATTGCATTCCATAAGAATGCAATGTTGGCTGATTGCTGGCTTCACCAGTACATAGTTCCAGTTTCATATTGTTACTGTTGAATCTGGAGTGTTCCCCACAGGCTCATGTTTTGAAGATTTGGTCCCCAACTTCTGGCGTTGTTTTGAAGGCTGTGGAGCTGGGGCCTTGATGGCAAAGTAGGTCATTAGAAAGGCTAGACTTGTACCTGGTTCTAGACTTCCTGGTCCACCCACCATAGAACCCATTTATTTTGCCATGAGCCAAAATACATCATTCTTTGCTTAAGCTGATGCTGTTTGGTATTTTGCCACAATAGTGGGCAACACACATTTGTCTAACATACCTTATAACTCTTACTTCAAATGCTTTTGAAATTTTGTTCAGAGAGGTACATAAACGATAAGACTATTGTTAACTGTGAAAAATCACTATTTTTAACTTCTGTCATTTGATGTTCGATTTTTTTTTTCTGGAAAGTGTCATAGGTTTCCCTTAAGTGTGTTTTATGTTAACAATTTTAGATGCTCAAGGGAATGAAAAATGGAAGAATTTAATCTTTGGGGGTGAAACAGTGTTTTCAAAGTGTGGTCCATGCTTCTGGAGTCCTGGAGACCTTTGTGGTCATGTGTGAGGTCAAGTCCATTTTCATGTTGCTGAGAGGCATCTGTGAATTTGCAACACAGGAGCCAAGCTGCCCACAATGCCCCTCAGGTTAGCATCTTTCTGTGACAGCAGCCACTGTGTGCTTTACTGCCTGAAGCACTCATGGGGGAAAACATGAGGAAACAGTCTACCTGAGGATGCTCTTGGTGAACTAGAGACAGCGTTCATTCTTGATGCTCAGGCTGTCTGTCTTTTTACTGCTCTTACAAAGTAGATGTAAAAAAATGTCTTTCCAAAGTGGAGAATAATGGTGATGGTGGGTGATTAATCTTCATTGTCAACCTGGCTGGGTCCAGAATCACCATGGTAACACATCTCTGAGCATGTCTGTGAGGGACTTTCTTGATAAGGTTAATTGGATGAGAAGACCTACTTTGAATTTGGACATCGGCATCCTCCTAGGCAGGACCCCAGATTGAATAAAAAGAATAAGTGAACTGAACCCTAGCATCTCTCTCCTGTAGGTGGAATGTGACCAGCAGCCCCAGCTCCTGTTACCATGCCTTCTCTTCCATGATGGCTTGTGTATTCCCTGAATTGTTAACCAAATGAAGCCTTCCTCCCTGTCTTAGGGTTTCTATTGCCATGAAGAGACACCATGACCACAGCAACTCTTATAAATGAAACATTTAGTTTCATTTGCTTACAGTTTCAGAGGTTCAGTCCATTATCATCATGACAGAGAGCATGGCAGCATGCAGGCAGATGTAGTGCTGGAAAAGTAGCTGAAGTCCTACATCTTAAAGGAAGTTGACTGAGACACTGGGCAGTAGCGTAGAAAACCTCAAAGCCTGCCCTTACAGTGTCACACTTCCTACAATACAGCCATAATCACTCCAACAAAGCCTATGAGTGGCATCCTAAAAGTGCCACTCCCTATGAGATTATGGGGCCAATGACATTCAAACTACCACACTCTCTTAACTCGATTCTTGTCAAGTATTTGATTATGGTAACAAAAAAAAAAACAAAACAAAACAAAAAAAACAATTACAATAGCCACCCAAAGCAAAGTCCCTGTGATCAAAGTTACAATAGAACCAGTCCATTTCTAGAGAACAAAAACTATCACTACTTGAAAGAACAATTTCCAGACTCCTTTGGAGTATTTACTGACACAGTTAAGATGTAATCTTAGGGAGAGATGAAGGGAGACAGTCACCCCAAGAAGACCCTCTGACAGGACTTGCTGCCACTGAACAAAGATGACCTTTAAAATGAAAAGTAGAAATTTGGGAAAACATGGGCCAACACCCAAATCTTTCATGGCTTCCCATTTTGTAATGATTTGGCAGATGTAGTGGGTGGTGATACTCGTGAATGAGATGTTTTGATGTTTGGTAATGAGAAGTACCCATCTTTGAAACTCCAATCAACTGTTTACTTTCCAATAACCAACACTAAGTCTAAAATCATGTCATGGGAGGGGACCCACTCAGAGTAAAGGACAGACTGTTGTGTCCTGATGTCACAGAAAAGCAAGGGCTCATTGTCTGAGATTGGACTACACATGGAGACTTATCCAAAAGAAACTACTATCAGGCTGGAACAATGGCTAAGAAGCTTGCTTAGAAGCACGCTTGGCAGGGTAGAGCATTTGCTCTGTATCTTAAGGAACTGGGTTTAAATCCAATCACCCACGTCCTGAACCAGGTACCACGCACTTGGCTTTAATATCAGTTCCAAGGTGGGTGGAGACAAGAGGACCACTGGGTTTTCTGGCAATTAGCCTAGCCAAAACAACACGAGCCCCAGGTTAAGATAGAGACCTTGCCTCAAAGGAAAAAGAGAAAGCTATAGAAACAGATACTTGATGCCCTTCATATACTCTTAGACACAGATAGACACACAGAGAAATAATAAATACATCATTTTCTTTAAAAAGACTAAGTTTTGTATATGGCATAAGAAGGGCAAGTTCTCTCTTTAACACATGGATTCTAATTTCCAGTTCCATTTGTGAAGTGACCAGCCCTTCTCCATCATGTGTTCTGAGCAACTTTGTTGAATACTCATTGACCCTTTATGTGTAGATTTATTGCTGAACTCTTAGACATGAGTCCAAAAACTACAAAGGCCCCAGAGGAAACACACTAGGAGCTTCATAGCTGTGGCCTTGGAAATGGACTCAGGGGCATCACTCCAAACACACTAGAGAGCCTATAAGAAGCTAGAATGTTCTGCATAGCAACCAGCCAGAAGGAGATGAGAGCTCCAGAGTAGGACAGTATGTCTGAAACCTGGTGAGAGGCTAAAAATGAAGGAAGTCTGCAATTTATCTGGAATAAGCCCCCAACAGTTCCACTAAACAGTGGACAAGGGGTCTCCAAAGAAGAGTCCAGAATGAAGAGCAGGTGATTGAACAAGTGCTGGAAGTCCTGATGGAGAAATAAACATGCATCAAAAGCACAATGCCACATCACTTCCCTCCTGTCAGGATGGCCGCTGTCAGCTTTAAAAGACAAGAGCTGAGAATGTGGAGGCTGAACCCTGTGGACCTGGATGCAAATTATTCAGCTTCGCAAGGTAACACAGAGGACCTCTAAGCACAGAAAATAAAGCAGTCATGTGGTCCAGGCATTTCGCTTCAAGGTGTGTGTCCAAAAGACTTAAGACGGTGCTCTCGAAGATCCACCAGTCCTCCTATGTCCACTGCAGCTCTAGGCACAGTAATCCAGGTGTGGGGACAGCTTTATTTTCCAGCAAAGAATGAGTGTTCTCACCTACAGTAAGTGACTGTTAAGAACAGGGGGAAAAGAGGCATAGGGTGCTCTAGTTGGGTCAGTGCAGGTGCGTTCCAGAGGGAGATCAGACTGAAAGCTCACACCAACGACGAGCATGTGGGTCGCATAAGTAAGATTCTGCCAAGAGAGAGAAGAGAAAATGGATCATCAACTAAGAGTGTTTGCTGCATGAGCAGAGTGCCTGAGTTTAAGTCCTCAGCACCCACGCCAAAAGCTGGGGACATGGCTGCATGTATCTGAAACATAGGACTTGCTGTCAATCCGCCAGCCTAGCTGAAAAATCCTAAGACCCAGATTTAGTGAGAAACCCTGTATCAAGGGGGGTAAATCAAAGAGAATGATAGAGCAGGAACCCCACAAATATACATATGCATACATTACACACACACACACACACACACACAACTGAAGGATACACATCTCATGTTATTTGAATAAAAAGAAAGGAGAAGAAAAGAATATGCAAAGCAAAAAATTGATTCGCTGTCAAAGAATAATACCCACAATTAAAGGACAAATTACTAAAATTTTCCCTCCAACAAATCTGTCTTGTTTTCTTCATGTCTCAGCCAAAACAACATATTCAACTGATGGCTGTGGAGACAACAGAGAACCCTGCTGCCACCCATGCAGTCAGGGGAGGAAGCGTGCAAACTGTACTGCAACACCACTATTTTTGTTGAATTCCTAAGTGGAAAGAAGAGCTGGTTTTCATCAGCGTGACTTGTGTAAACACATGACAGGTTTATTCTTGTTGCTTTAGTGAGTGGATATTTCAGATGCTTGGTCTTAGTTTCTGGTATGATAATGCTAAGAGTAGAACCACTTGAAAGAGGCGGCTTTGTGGTGCACAATCATTTTAAGAGCAACTTGGAGCCTGCGAGCAAGGAAACTGCGCAATCTTTGGGGATGAAGACCCCCTCCCTGATCACATGACTTACGATCACCATTGGCGATTGCCATGCAAGGCCCCCAAGAGCACCATGAGAACATGCCTACAGCATCTCAGACTCCAGAATTGTACAAATACACACTAATGGTGTAGAATGACATGGTTCATATGGAAAGTTCAGGGTGTATTAAGTAACCACAGTTTTAATTCTGGTTGAAGAAATTTACCAAAGAATCTTTTTATTTAAAGTGTTTAGGTTGGAGCTTGAGAGATGAGTCAGTGGTTGAGAGTATTCTCTGCTCTTACAGAGGACCTGAGTTCAGTTCCTAGCACCCATTTTGGGCATCCATTTCTCTCTCTCTCTCTCTCTCTCTCTCTCTTCTCTCTCTCTCTCTCTCTGTGTGTGTGTGTGTGTGTGTGTGTGTGTGTGTGTGTGTGCACGTGCATGCAGATGCCAGAAAAGACCTTCAGATCCCCTGGACCTAGAGTTAGAGGCAGTTGTGAGCATGGGTGCTGGCAACTAAACTCCGGTCCCCTGGAAGAGTAGTTACATACTCTTAACTGCAAAGTCATCTTTCCAACTCTTAAACCCTGAAAATACAATAAAATACTTAGGTGAGAAATAACAGCTGTATCTAAAATACCTTGCTGAATACTGGGTGGAATATAAGTGTCTGGGTCTTGCTTTAGTCCGTGCCTCAGAGAGGAGGGAAGACAGGACCTCATGACCTCTGGATGCTTGAGAAAAGATAGGTCTGGTGCCCTGGTGGCTGTCCTCCACTAACCATCACCTACAGGGAAACCTTAAGAAGTGAACTCCCTGAGACCAATGCCACTAGGCTGTGGCCTTGAACCTTAATCCATATAAAACTGCTTCTGGGGGCCCCAGGAGCCACTGGACCTCAGTAGCTATGGATGGGCACTTCGTTCTGCGGCCTGGTGCTCTAACTGGAGGAGGTTAAATGTCTCCACAGGCACCCTAGTCATCAATCCAGATAATGCTGGATATCCATTGCCCCACACCATTACCTCACGGGGCACGAGACTCAGAAATTCACCGCCTGGTGGGACGGGGAACTCCCCAAGCCTGACAT